TACTAGTATTACATGTGTCGTTAAAAAAAAAAGGTCAATAAGCATGTAGCCCCAATCTAATTAAAATCAGACTTCTATGATCCATGCCGTATACACTTAATGCAGAGTGTACACGGTGCAATTCTAAGAAGTCCGATTTTAATTAAATTGCATGTATCCCCTTCCCATTTTATGATAGTACGTACCCCTTATGAACTATTGTGTGCCTTCATGACCCACCCACCCCACCCCCCCCCCCTTTAACAAAAATATCTAATCTGATGACACGCCCTTCATTTAGAGAAATATCATTGATTTCATTATCCCCTTTTGCCTGATTTTATGAAATCCCTATTTTTACAGAAATATCATCTGACTTTGTGACCTTTTTTCCCTTTACAGGACTATTTTCTGATCCCAAATACTGTTAACCAACTTTTATTCGCGACAACTTTATTTCAAGGGATAAATTAGTTCACGACGATTAATTTTTGGGTATCTATTTTGGATCTGTTGCAGAGGCACATATACATCTGAAGGACCATTTGTGGAGAGAATTTCAGGATGATGATGATCCAAAGTGCCGTGAAAATTTGACGCACGCAAATAAAAGTTTTTCAGTTTGTAAACCAACACTTATTAGTGTGCGAACAATTTCAGCAAACTTTGCGATCTACTTTTACTTGCAAATATTTATTGCCCCAAACTATTTATTTTGCTTTGTATTTTTAGAGAATGTATCCTCTGTCATGAAAATTTAATTCCGAACGTGGACTGATTGCTAACTGACGAATCACAAATAAAAGATGTTGCCAATAAAAGTAGGTTTACAGTCTAAGTTTATACATCCAGGATGAAGGCAATTAAACTAGTGAAAAACCGAGCATTAAAATTTTAAGTAAACCCAAAAAACAAAAGTAAAGAAAAGATGTAAACATTCTCCACTTCAATTAATTAAAAGCATAGAAAAAATGGCACAAAGAAAAATCACAATGACATGGAATTCAATATAAAAACAGTTTCTTTGTTTATATAATTTGTATATACATGCATTATTAAATGTGTTCATCCATTTTTTGATTGTCTGCACTGCCAATTTAATTCTCTACATTGTTTATATATTCATCATTGTATGACATTCAATGAAATGATTTTATACAAGCATTTACACTTTTGATAATTAATGTACAGAAGTTTTTATGATGTTATAGTGATACTAATATAAGCTTTTAGTACTTTGCACATACACCAAAGAATGATCTATTTTAAAGTATTAGTACTTTATATATATGACTATCTTACACTTTTATTTTATGTGTATACCATCCAGTATATGTACTACATGTATAATTTTTGAGTGTACACTGTACCTTTAATATACTTTTGAAATTTCAAGTATTATAGTGTTTCATCTCTACAATTAAATGAAATAATAATTTATATGATAGTTATATTTCTAACATATATTTTTCACAAAAATCCATAATTTTTGTTTAAAGATTGAATGAAGTGGAAAAATTAAGTGTTCAATTTAAAAAAAGAAGATCATGCAGTCAATATCAATGTACATGGAATAACTCATTTCACACCAGGCCTATGGTGCACCTTATATGTGTTTGAGCAAGTCTGGAATACTGCTGGAAATTTTTGATTTTCAATTATATTTATTTATGTGTTTGTGTGTACTTTTTCTCGTCTTAATTTGTAAAATCAAATTTGTTTTTGTTTACTTTTATGTTCACTAAATGTAGGTAAATAAATTATCAAGTCCCATTACAAGACAACTATGAGTTATTTGGCCTTAACCTTACTTAATTCAACAACATAAATTACATTAAAACTACATCTAATAAAATTACTAATGTTCAAGAAATCAACATTATAAATAGATCGAAACATACATGTACATGTATAACATGTATAATATACATATAACATTAACTTTTATCATATTCATTGCAGATAGACATTTCAAAAATGTGAAAACATCAAAATTAATAATTCATATCTATATATATATATTCAAGAAGCACAAATAAATATAAACAATAAATTTTGATAACAGATAAAGATTTTTCTTGAAATATCTAAACATCATACATGTATAACATAATTATGCAATTAAATTAGAAATATATTTCTCGTCGTAGCACTAAACTCAATGCTATATAAACATGTGGCACAATTAGTAAAATTACCAATTACAGTCAACCAAATATATAAACTAGTATATTATAGGTTTATAAGGGAATATTTTTTGTATGTATGATGTACACACAACAATCATGACAATGTTGATTTAAAAAAAATTGCATTCCGATATAGATGTTTCTCCATTGATACAAACACTGAGTTACATATATACTAAGTCTATTACTATAAAATATTCTCTCAGTGAATACAGACCATCCAACAAAAGCTTTGAAGAAAACAATTAAAACTGAGTAAATGTGTCTTCTTGACGTTTCAAGGTGAATTCAGAAAAAGAAAATTCGAAAAAAAACTTAATAATTATTGTTAATTCTTAAGTTAAAAACATGTCTCGCTTTGTCTAGTAAACACTTTACACACTGAAATAAGGGTTGTATGTGTAATTATGTCATCAGTATATGTATTAAATCATGAGAAATTCTGGATACATAAAGATATCCCTTATATAAAACTCACAAGCTGCCATTTTTAATCCTATATTGGAATGCTCTGTTAAATATCTTGGTAAAAATTATCTTTTCCTTAATTAGCAACACAAATTTTTACAAGCTTTACTGAAGGTTTAAAACCTCTAACATGAGGGGCTCAATTTTGTTGGAGTTGATTTGTAACAAAATTCTGGCGTGATCTTCCCCTAGACCCTTAAGTTCCGATATCTTCTGTAAAATGTTTGAGAAAAACACCTGAGAGTGCATGAAAGAGACATCGGACTCGAGATAGTGTCGAAGAAGCAAAATAAAGTGCTCCTGAATGTCGGATATAACCTGCCTGTTTTCTAGGTTCTGTCCGTCGGGATTAAAGACGGTAATTGTTTGTATCAGAGCCATGATATTGCTGTCGTCCCTCGTCAGTTTCTTCAGCCCCGCACAATACGACGTGTGAGCATCGTGGAGATCGTTAAACCCTGTCGCATGCTTCAACACACTGGTGGGAATGCTCCCCGTGGGGGTTTTCCAGGCGTCGTTTTCGGCGTCGTAAAAATTAACTGATCGTAACAGCAAGGCGTTCAGGACACACGATTTAAGGCAGGCCACTTGATTCTCTTGGCTCATGCCTCTGAATTGAGCAATTTTTTTCACAAATTTGATTAGTCTGCGCACTGCGATTTCCGAATTGTTGACCAATTCGTCAGCGTTGGAGTAGCTTTCTTCTTTGTTGACGTGGGTTTCGTTCGCGTATCCCCCTAGAGTTTCTAAATATGCCACAGATAATTCCTCCACTTGCGTTTTCTCTTCTGGACTTAACACACGATACATTCTTGGATCTTTGGGCACGGAATCTGCAGACAGCATTGGTAAAGTTAACGGTGTGGAGCTCCCGAAGGCCATGGTTGGATACCCTGCAGCGCTCCTGTCATCTCCGATACTCTGCGTATCTGGCATGGAACTTGTGGCCTCACTCTCGATACTGCTGGGCTCGTTCTTAACGATTACTTCCCCTACTTGTGATGGTTTCTGTTTCATTTGTCTGTTCATGGCCACCTTCTGCATTCTGGCTTTTCTTTCTGTTTCATCTATCAAAACAAAAACAGTAAAGAGTGTGAAAATTGTTGAAAGTCTGTATAATTATGATAAATATTTACACATACAAAATCTACTGAAAGTCAAATGCCCCATAATATTCTCTGAATTTTCCAAAACTTAGCCTGTTACTGGACAATCTCTATTTAAAATAATCTTTACAACCATGCAAGATCAAGGGTGCATGAATATACTATCAAATAGTGAAACAATTCTTTTCTGAATTTATATTAACTACAAAACCATATATAAATGTTCTTATTTTAGTTGTATATATTAATTTTTTAAAAGAATGCATGTGTGTACCAAGCAGTAAGTACACAAAACTATACTGGTTGTTCTATTAACATGATTAAAGTATTAAAGTATCCTTCTATATATATTTCTTGAGCATTGGCTTTTTAATCGATGAAATATACAATTTAATATGTAAATACTGGTAACACTGATATAATCATATAAGATGTACTTTTTCCTATATGTACTTTTATATGATGATTTAAACATACATATTAAAGATAGACAATAACATGTTTTTCTTTCTTTGTTATTCAGGGAATTACTGTGATTACTCTGGTAATATTTGCAGCTATTTGAGAAAAAACAATTTACCTAGCTCCCCTCTAAGCATGTTATACAAATGGATTATGTATTTTTTCTGACACAGTTGCAATGTTATATCCCCATAACAACAAAGAATTTCAATGCATTTTATGGTTAAAAATTAACGTTGTTGTCTTCCATATATTATAGAACTTCTGATGTTGAAAAACGCCACATATAATATAAATAGTTAATACACAACAAAACATCAAGGGAAAAACGTAATTAGCCCATTTTCATGAAAAAGGAAGAATTAGTTAACTGTTTACCTATACATGTATCATAGATTTTTTTGGTGCCCTGTATTTGTTGAGAAAGCAGTTGTGTTTTTTTTCATATTATCATCCAATATTTCATACAACCTATCTGAATAATTGAAAGGTACATATACCACAATCTTGACATTTTACTTTGGACATATGCATTACTACGATAAACATTCCCCAACCACAACCCCTTCCCCCCCCCCTCCCCCAACTAATACTTTTCCTTAAACCTTGAAAAATTGACCCCATCAAAATATTGGATTTTATAGTGTTTAATTTATTGAAGCTCCATATGGTAAACTGTAGATCACTTAATTTTTACTACACCTTATTTTCGCTAGATAGTCATTGACTCTTGATGATCGAGACGACATTTCCTCAAATTACTGTAAATGTTTTATATAAATTTAGCATGTACAATATTTGGAGTAAATTGATTTTTGAACAAGTTAGTGTAGATCTGATTTTGCACATTTCTTAATGTTTTTATTTATGTATATATGTGCAGGACATTTAGCGTTGTACTTGAATTAGCGGAAATTTCTTTCAACCAAAAAAACACTAAAAAGAATACACCGCCAAATGTAATAAGCTTGCAGTATGGTAGGTAATTGCTCAATACTATCCTATGGAATACTTTTATACGCGAGAATTAAACTTTCACAAGTACGCTGTCTCACGTAATTATGCAACAATAAAGTTCTTGCGAATAAAAAGTGATTTACAGAACATATAACTGTACCTAGAATCATCTCCTTCTTCATCCCGACCTCAAAACATCTCCGCAGTCGACAGTGGGGACAGAATCGTCGCGTACGCACGTCAATCAGGCAGTCATTTTGAAAAAGACATTTTGGCTGCTGGAAAAAAAAAATGGAATCATGTGTAAGTTTAATTAAAATCTGACGAGAATTGTTCGCTGACATTATAGTACCGTTACTGGTTATTGAACGTGAATGATGTTTAAATCATTGAATTTAAGTGTCATTATTTAAAATTTTTACTTAAAAATACAGTAATTATTAGTATTTTTCTGGATAAAATGCTGAGTATAAGATTTGTGAGCATTGTAGCTCTGTTTTCAGGTATCTGGTCCAATGCTACTATATGTATCTATCAGCTTTACTTTTGTGGCTGAATTACCAGGTAAAAGATTTTGGAGCACACATTTCCAATTTACGTGAACATTTTGGACTTCAAACTTGGAAAATTGGTGAATCATTATTTTTCAGAATTTAGGATCTTGAGTTAGAGAGCTATATATAGCTAGGGCACTATATCTGATGGAAATGGGCCAAATAGTTCAAGGAAAATGTCAGTCAGAGTCTTAGGAGCAAAGTCCCATAAACTTCAGAGAACTGGCAATTAGTAGATCTTATTTTAACATACTAATGACCTATTTTTATCTTCATTACAAAGATGTATTACAGTGCAAACTTTAATCTGATATTTATTTTTCACTGTTTAAGTGGGAGTCAGTACTTCATTAAACTGAATTTGCATTTGTTTTTTTAGATGCGTTAAATGACCAGACTATCTTTACAAGATCAAGTAAGAAATTTACCTATTTTTTTATTACTATTACATAATAAGTCCTTATGATGTAATCAAAATTACAAAGTAATCCATCCAGAAGAAGCTAATCCAATTGTTCCGCTTTTTAGAACATATACTTGATTTGAAGTACCAAAATATACTTGGTAAATCAGATTAATTTCTTGTATAATGCGTATATATGGTCAATTAACCCAATTTTTTTTCCATCAACAAACAGATACATCTGAAAGTCTAATATTGAAGAAAATATAACATACTTACATCTGATTTTAGGGCATTTCTTCTGAAGAAGGCTTTACAAGATTCACAAGTAATGGCGTTAAAGTTGTACCCCAGCGCCTTATCTCCGCAAACAAGGCACATCTTGTCCTCCTTGCTGCGTTTGAATTTCTTCGACGCTGCTGCGTCGTTACTGCTGGAACTAGAGTCCTCATGCGGACCGGAAAACGAGCTGACCCCGCGTCTCGGGGTAAAATCCATGGAGTCGGTCCCAGAACCTTGTAGAAAGCTGCTGTCAATCGTACTACACATACTGATGTCTCGTACAGCGTCACTGCTGGATGTCTGCAATAACAAAACAAAAGGTGTGAGAAACTCGGATATATATATAACCACTATATAATGTTACAGTAGATCAAATCTCTAATATAAAAATGTGAGAAAAATTCATTATCACTCCTGGGTTTTTCACCATGATGACATGGATTTGGCTGTGAAAATGTACCTTAACAGGTGACAATTTTACCCTGGTACAACTTAAAATACTTAAATCACATAATCACTGTCTAGTTTTGTGACTGTGATTTGTGTGTTTGTTATTTTATTTTTGTATGATGCCTGCGTAAGTTACCATGGCAATGTGTCCTTTTTTCCAATTATATATATTGCTGTAGTTGTGATGAAATACGCAGCAGCAGCAATAATGAATTAATTAAACAAAAAAAAAAATTGTTACTTAGACTTGCCAGATGAATGCTGATCACTATATACATGCTGCTGATACATGATTCCTTACGCAACTTAAAATAAAATAAAAATATGTTTACATTTTTAGATTTTCCAGAAAAAGACTGGATATTTGTGGTTATTTACTTATAAATTTATAAAAAAAAAAAAAAAAAAAAAAAAAAAAAAAAAAAAAAAAAAATTTTTAGAAATTCTCAGCATCTTGTGAAAGAGAGAGCTAGGTCAATAAAATAGGTCATTTATTTAAAGCATTGGGGAAAATTAATAAAAAATATTTTTCATTATTTTTATTAAGTTAAGGATTGACAGTGGTGGATCCAGAAAGCACCCAGTGGGTCTAAAGCAAGGTCCTTTTAATAAAATTTAAAATAGCCAAGTTTTTTTAAGAGATGTTTTTTTTCTTGATTTTAGGATAATGGACATATAAAATTTACATTAAAAAATTTCAAACGGGGTGGGGTGGGTGTGGGGGGGGATTCCTTCTTTGATTGATAAGCATTGAGGTGTACAGGGTGTATTTTGAATTTTAAAAAAGTTATAACTCCCAAGGCACAAGGCTTAACAACTCAAAATTAAAAGGAGAAAGTTGAATTAATGAGACAAAAAAACTACAAATCGAAACAATTGAAGGCACCACAATAAAGAGAACCCTTAGCTGAATAGAACATTAATTATTCCTGCAGGAATTTATGATTTCAAACATAACTCACTCCCCCCCCCCCCCCCCCACCACACACACACAAATAAATAAGCCCATATTACATGTATTCCATACCCTCCAACGAAGGGGTTATAAAAACCAAACAGAGGAAACAGGTATTCTACAGGTATAATCAATGAGCAAGGATCAACAGCTTGTTATCACTAAATTACTACATGTTTATCTACTAAATAAGAATACACTTCAGTTTATCTATATGATCTAACTGAACATGCCCACAATGTGAATGGTTTTGTGATATCATTCCAAGGAACAATATCAGAAAGCTTTGACATAATTTGTAATTAAAAGATGATCATTTTATCTTGTTCAAGATTGCCAACTTCAACATTCACCAATTAAATTAATGTAATCTACACATGAAGCAAATATTAATCACTCTAAAATCAAACCATGGGGAGACATTAGCTGATTTCATTACCAATGAATCATGTCGTTTAAGTCATTGTGGTAAAAAAATATTGGTTACCAAACCCTAAGGGCACTAAAATAATGAAAGTCCATGGTGCATTGCAATTGGAATAGAAAAATCATTCCTGTAAACATGGTCTATGTATTGTTGTACATGTTGTAAAATACTCTTCCATGTATTTTAATCCTGTAAAACTGGTGCATATACAGCTGTATTGTAAGAATACATCAATTATTCCTGTAAGTGCACTGGTCTACATGTCTTGTAAGAATATAGACAAAGCATTCACTGTAAAACTGGTCCAAGTAATGTAAGAATAGATCAATCATTCTTGTAAAACTTCAATTATTCCGGAAAGCATGCATGTTGCACTGGTCTACATGTATGATTAGATAAAACATTCCTGTAACACTGCACAATGTAAAGCCAAGTATATACATGTATCATCCATATAAGACTTTTCTTCCACTTCTGCCTTTAAGACTTATGAATATTAATCCTCTTTAAAGATTAATCTAGGAAGGAACAGACCAAATTCCTGTTATGTCTGGTAAAAATAGAACTCTTTGGGAAAAGCCACAATCATTACACTAAGTGGATAATTTGTTTTATGCTAATTTCTGCAAACTTAATATGGATAATTATATGCTTAGCATAGTATAAATTAATATTAAGGACTGTTGGTGTTACAAATAATATGGATGCATGTAGATTGTTTTTTTTTTTTTTTGAAAACGGTGCATACCGTAAATCTGGAAATTTTTACATCGATTTTATTTTGCGAATTTAGGTCAAAATGCTGTTGATTAATTTTTATGTTTCAAAATTTTGCGAATGACCAATTATGCTTTGTTTATATTTTCTTATTGGTAATTTATTTTTAAGAAAAATATTTTTGCGAACGCAATGAACTTGCAAATTTGCTAAAAATTTATCTACAGCAAAAATTTCCAGATTTACGGAATTATCAAATATTTTCACATGTTTAAATATCAAGAAATTTTAGACTCTCTTTAATTCTTTCTTTCTGCCATCACTTTTACAAATCTACACAATATTCTTCATCACTCTAATTTATATGACATTCTTAGGAATGAAACTTAATTATTTTAACTTCTGAAAATAATTAAAGTTTGTTCCATCCGTTTTTACATATATCTTATGAAAAAGAAATCATATAATTTTCTATTTGGATGTGACGTACAGTAAAGAAAACAAGTTTCCACAGCAACAAATGCAATTAATAGTTCATAGACATAACACAACGGATATAAATAGTCCTTAATAAGACAAAATCTGATTATATCACAAATAAATGTAAAAACTTTATTGATTTTATCTCAGAAAAGTATCTTTAATACATCCCTAAAATAACCAATGCATCATGAAGAGTATTGACTGGTTTTAGGGTACTGTAAAGTCACATTTCTGTGGGGTCAAATTTTCAAAGATAGGGAGAAACATGTGTTGGTGTTGTTATATTTGAATTTTTTCATTTTATGAACAAAATGAATTAGTGGGTCTCTTTGTATACGTACCACAAAAAAATCAAAAAACAATCCCCCTCCCCCTTCAAAAGAAAACTAGTGATTCCACAATACGTGCTTACGGGTACTTGGGGTCTAATCATCTACTGTTATGTTTACTGTTAACACAGATGCTTGTTATGTGTTGTTGCTGCTGACTTCTGAATGACAATAAATGCCTATGGCTGATATATTCGATTGCCTTTGCTAATGATTACATAAAATCTGATTTTTTAACAGTTTTTACAATAATTTTATCATCAAAAGTCATTATTTTTCTAAAAAAAATTGCTTGAAAAACAAAATTTTATTTTTTTGAAATATTTATGTATATAAAATCTACAGACACAGAGATGGCAATGATTGTTATTTGTTATTGAAAAGCTTCATTATATCATTAAAAGTTTTTTTATCATGTCAACATGTACTTTATATATTTCAACCATACAGAATTTACTGTTTTCGCGTTGGTGCGCATTGCCCATACATGTATATTCCTGGCATATTATTTCCTGCAATTTTCTATGTTTATGTCCTAAATTTGGGCAAGCTTGGATCTAGTACTCCTGATGCTGACTCCCAGAATTGATGTTTTTTGTTCATATTTTCCTCAATTTTTATTTTCAGACACATTATTGATTAATTATCTTGAACTTAATTCATTCACAGAAATACAAAATTTAAAAAATATTACGAACTGTGGCATAAACATAAATCATGGCTTGAGCAGTTAGATCCAAAATGAATTTTCCATTTAGTGTGTATCTACCTACTCATAACACAGAGATGGCAATGACTGTTATTTGTGACAGATATCATTATCATAGGCCTATATGATATACTGTATAGGGGATTAAATCCGATTAATTTCACGGGTTGTAATTTTCACGTTTTCCTCTTCTTTGGCACAATCATGGTTTTTTGAATTCGTGGAATTGCTATATATTAAAAGTTTCCTCCCTTATCTATATTTATTGAAAACTTATTCACTGTTTCTTGAATTCACGGATTCATTAACACCATGAATACTGTATAAAGGGTTATTTTCGCCCCGTGTTATTTACGCCCTTTTGTTTTTTGAACAATTTTCCGTTTTAAATTCCAGATTTGGTTCATAGTTTTTAAAAAATTATTGTAACTGGTTAATTATCTTGAACTGAATTCATTCACAGAAATACAAAATTTAAAAATATTAGAGGAGTCGGTATCCATTTTGGTCTCTATCTACTTGATAAATAAGTACTAGACTGTGACAGATATCATTATCATAGGCCTACATGATATATTGTTGAATTTATATTTGTGCACATGGGTACTAGGCCTAACTCTAACATAGTAGATATACTGAAGAAGTTTAAAGCAATTCTTTTTAGTGAAATCAAGATTAAAAGTTAATTAAGTGCAGCAAGCTCTAATGACAACACCAGGGAGAAAATAAAATTCGGATTTTGCACATTGATCTAAACAAATTAAATTTTTTTCTGCAGGAACTTCTGGACCCACAATGCATCACTTGTTTAAGCTTCAACATATTTGTGAGAAAAAAACAACAAAAGTTTAACAAAAAATACATTTGCCTTTTGTTGATTTAATGGATATATAGCAGATAAATAGTAAATAAAACATTCTTCATTAAAGTCAATAATGTTCAGGCTTCAGTTTGGTAATGCAACTTAAATACAATGCCATGTGATGTAAGGGTCTTTATGTAGTTTACAAATGGCATGTGCAGTTTGTCGAGCCCAATCTACATAAAATTCTGTGCTTGTGCCCTTATGGTCGTAACATGAACATATAAAAAAAATAGCAATCCGGAACAATGGGGAGTCAGAAATCAAAAAACCTTAATTTGGCACAGTCTACATAACATTGTTATCATAATTATAATTTATGCATGTGTAATGTAACCAAGACAGTCCAGCACCAGGAGTCAGGAGGGTAGATTTACTGCTTGCTCTACTTTAATCATAAGCTAAATTTTTGCACCAAATGATATGTGTTATTTTCACCTCTGTATGAAACTTAAATACTAATAAGAAGATCAACAATGTGTACTTTAGTATCATATGCAGAGGTAAACAGAATTATCAACATCCTACACTGTTCCAAGCAGGTGACTGTTCAAGTCACGTACACCCATAAAAAGTAGGCTACGATTTGTAAGTAAGACGACATTATTGAAGCACGTCGTGAAAATCTCATTATAATACGGATTTGATCTCTGATCAAAACACCTTCTACTTTGATGATCAACAAATGTCAACTGACTAAAAACAAATGCAAGCAGTTCCAATACAGTGCTAAAGCTTAGCCTTCGATTATCAGTGACGGAAATAACGCGAAGACAATATTAAACAGCGGTATTTTATCAGTAAGTACTAACCAAGCCAAAATGCCACGTGTTAAAAGAAACAATCTGGCTACAAAATATAAACTAACAACGTCGAAACACAGTGGGAATATACAACTAACTTGTTTATAAGATCACCCTTACCAACTCGGAAGCCATGTTTTTCTAAAAAAAAATTGCACCGACGGAACTGAAAATTCCGGAATCTGACCTACTTTGTAAATCGTGACGATGAAATGAGGTTATTGCTAGATCAAATGATATCTTTAAAAAAAAACATTTTTAGTGATATTAAAATTGAAACAAAATCAAAGAGAATTTTTTTTTCAGGGGTCCAGAGGGGCTGGTATAAAAATCTTTGTGTGTGTCACGTGTGAAAAAAAAAGGGGGGGGGTAAAGATTTTCAAAAGAAATGGGTAAAAGAGAATAATACCAAGGACCAAGGTAGATTTTGTTTTCAAAGACATGGTTTAATATGCTTTAGGAGAGTAAAATATGGTCTAAATAAATCCAGAACAATGGTTTTTAACAACCATTTATAAAATTAATCAATATTTCTGCCAGTTTTTAAAGAAGACCAGTCCCAATACATCGCATTCCACCTCCCCAACCCGCCACTGAAGATAATTTTCAGTAATGGAATTGTTGAGAGAGAGAGAGAGAGAGAGAGAGAGAACAAAAAATTACATGTATGTAGGCCAAGGGTTTGAGGTAATAAATTAATGTCCTTTGAATCATGTCAGTAAAAGATACGATATCTATAGATCAGATATATTTGTATACATGTACGGTGTCATCAATCAAAATGAAGCGACGTTCAGGTAAATCTACATGTACTTGTTTAACAAAAAATATATACATGTATGTGCATTTTTTAAATCAGAATATTGTTTTTTTTATGGTGGGATATTGTTCCAGTTTTTAATAAACTAGGACGTTATCTGCAACAGATTGAGTTTATATATGATTACCAAATGATAGAGGATATAATTTTCATCAATTATAATTACAAAACACATAAAAAAAGTTGAACCGTGGTTAATGTAATGTGAAATTATCAGATGCAAGAGAAGGGACAAGGATATAGCCAACAAACGTTTATAACAAAGAATTTCAATTGTATACATTAAACAGCAATTTTCGCTAAATTACCGAAGAGAAATTGCCCTAAAATCTCTTTCTTAACCACACGTAACAGCGCCATAAGCTCGGGGGGGGGGGGCTTTTTCTGTTGAAAATGGACCCATCCCCTCCAACAAACACTTTTTTGTGACAGTACTTTTTTCATATCATCAGTGAAACGCGATTAATTTAGATTGTGTAATTCATTTCTTTAAAAAAGTCCTTTTTTTTTTATCAAGTAATAAAACAAAAAGAAAGATTTTTAATTTTGCCTATGTGAACTTATCACAAATACGTCGTATTAACAATTTATTTAAATTTAAATTAATTTAATCATTGAACAATTTATTTAAAAACGGCAACTATATATATATATATATATATTAATCATCACGAATCTCGAAATCCTTACCTGTATTTAGATGTAAGTACATATCACTTATAAACATATATATTTACGTGTACCTATTACCCATTTTAACGTAATTATACCAAGAAATAATATGTATTTAGAAATGCATGCATAATTGTCAGTATCTTGTACATGTATATGTTAATACTACATGTACATGTACATACTCAAAAGATTCAAGTCAGAAACATGAAAACGTTTTAAAACATCACAGAAAAATGAAAGAAAAATATTGTTACCCGCTTTTTATATCCAGTCAGAAGCAAGATAATTACTCCTATACAGTCTACAACTGTTCATCCATACATACTTGTAAAATCAGACGAGAAACTGCGTATAAACTTGTAAAATACAAACATTTACTAAATCATAATTTAGTGAAAAGTGCCTGTGCATGCAATTCTATGTCCGGATCATTCGGTGCACGTGAACTTTGATGACGAATTTCGGTGTAAAAAAAAAAATGAAGAGACATTACCCCGCCAACGCTTTATTTAGTCAGCCTTTCTCATATTACAACGAGCCTTATGAAGTGTGTCGAAATCATGAAAAGGAAAGAGATTTTAAGTGCAAGAGATCTGAAATGTTTTGACGCTGTGAATTAATTTCTTTGATCTTACAAAGGGTGCATGGGAAAGATCCGCCTTATAAGTGATGGGGAGTTTTTACGGAAAGTACACACGTTCATGATAATACTGTATAACATTTAATTCAATGAAATTTTGAAACTATTATTTCGTGTAATAAATTACATCTTCACTGTATTTGCAGAGCTGTAGCTCTCTGGTACAATAAAAATTCTAATATCTAGGCCTATATACATACACAGTCGGAATTGAAGTTTCCTCAAGAGATAAAGAGCTACAGTTCTTTGCGGCTAATCTTACTTTACTTCACTCATTTAGCATCAATATAATTAATATCAATTAATTTAATTTAATTTAAACTTTATTAAAATGTACATCTAAAATACCCCATCAATCAATCCTTCGATTTGAAGCGGTAAGGGGTTTTGGAGGATTTGGAGGATATAGGTCAAGGATCATGGGAACATGAAGTGGATAGTGAATTTTGTAAATAACACTGGCGGATTTAAAGGGGGGGCAGGGTCCCGCCTTCTTTTGTGTCCAAAAATACACAAAATTTGATAAATCAATGTTGTTGTTCTTTTGGTGTGACTGTGAGCCGGCCCCTACCCTGACCTCAAACTGGTCGCCCCCTTTCAAAATTTCTGGACCCGCCACTGAATAACGACGATATCTTCTCCTGTGCGGGTCAAAGAACGGTCAGGTAACACCTATACCTGTGTATGTTTATCATATACTTGTACCTCTGACCGTAATTCATATGCTGTAAATATTTTTTTCACTACCCTTATGTACTTGTATGAATTTTAAATGGTTTTGAGTGAATAAATGAACTTTAACTTGGGGTATGCACCCACTTTTGTTCCGCGGTTCCACCACTGACATTTTCCTGTGTTTTGCCCTGTTCACTATCTGTATTATTTAAAGATTTATGAGATCGATCACAATAAATTAACTTCACTTTTTTCGCAAATTAAACAAAATGTGTAAATATATTTATTGTTGTACATGCAAGAAAATATGACGATTTCTTCACAATTTTAATCATTTTAAGGATGCTTTTATACACGTTTTTTAAATACTAGTATATTTTTTATTATTCATTAAGCTGGCAATTATTATTTTTTAATTTTAGGTGGAAAGCGAAGTAATTGGATTTTTAATTTTAGAAAATATGATCTCTCTTACAGTGTGTCAGTAATGTTCAGATAGCATCCTTTGACCATAGACCTAAAGCGTCTATGCTTTGACACAAATGACAAAACTTGAATTCTAGGAATTGGAGTCATAACTCAACCTGTCATTAAATTGCAAATTTTGATTACACCATAACTAGTGATAACTATGGTGGCATTTTTCTGCCCCCTACATGCAAGATAAATTAAGTTAACATGCAAGAAAATTATGTAGACATGTAACATATTTATATCATCATGCAAGGTAAACATGTTGACATGCAAGTTACCAATTTTATAAGAAAATATAATTTAGATTTGGGTAAATTTACTTACTAACGCCCGTATCTGACATTTTAAATGCAATATGCAACATACTTATGTAGACATGGGAGTTTTTAATGTCAACATGCAAGATAATTAAGTCAACATGCGACTTATTTATGTCATCATGTAAGATAATTATGTCAACATGCGACTTATTTATGTCAACATGCAAGATAATTTTGTAAACATGCGACTTATTCAAGTTAATATGCAAGATAATTATGTCAACATGCGACTCATTTATGTCAACATGCGAGATAATTATGTTAACATGCAAGATATGTAAGTTGATATGCAAGTTATCATCTTGAATGTTGACTTAAATAAGTTGCATGTTAACATAATTATCCTGCATGTCTACATAATATCTTGCATGATTACATAAGTATCTTGCATGTTCACATAAATACGTTGCATATCTACATAATTAACTCGCATGTTGACATAATTATCTTGCATGTCTACATAATTATCTCGCATGTTAACATAAGTAAATCGCATCTTCTCATAATTATTTTGCATCTTGCATCTGCGACGTCAGATACGGGCGAAAGCACGGGATTTTACCCATATTTAAATCAGATTCCCTTAAAAGATTTTTAACTTGCATGTCAACATAATTATCTTGCATGTTGACATAATTTTCTTGCATGTTGACATAATTTTCTTGCATGTATACATAATTTTCTTGCATGTTAACATAATTTATCTTGCATGTCGGGGGCAGAAATATGCCACCATAGATAACCATTCAAATGAAATAAATCAATAATTCATATCTGTAACCTTGAAATTTAAAATTCTGAAGGAGATGAAAGAAAAATGGAGATATTGTCGAACGTCAAAAGTTACCTGCACAGTAATTATACAGAAGATTAAATCTATAAAGGTTTGCTCTGATGCACCTGACAGAGTGTACATACATTATGAGCTTACATTTACTGCAGTATTTATGGGGTTGTGATGTCAAATATTGAAAGTTATAAATGCATAGCAATTTTCTCACATCTCTCCTGCGTCGGAAGCAAATTGACTGTGGGGGAGGGGGCTAAGTGAACGTGTGTGTGCAAGGGAGGGGGGCTAACAGAACCAAAAGGGTAAGTCCCAAATTTCAATGCCTATATATTATTTCTATCATAGGCGTTGGAACCGGGATAGCGGGTGGGGGATGGGGGCTTAGCACCCACACTTTTTTTTTAGCAAAGATATATATAATATTGGCATTGAAAACGCCTATATCTATTTTTGCAAAGAAGGAGGGGGGGGGGGTTATGCCGGCTGGTTCCGACGCCTATGTACACTATCACATTTGTTACCGTCTTCGGAAGACGGTATTGTATAGTTGAAGTTTTTTACAGTCTTCGGACTATGCACTTCCTCTCTTTTGTGATTGGTAGAAAATGCATGATGAGAAAATTTTCAATTATTTCATTGGTTGAAATGCTGTTCAAGGCAAGGGAGATAACTTTCTGATGATCTAATTTTCGTACGACTTAACAATTTTGCAAGATTTTCAATCTTAAAAAAAAATGACAAAACGAACAACAAAATCAGCAGTAATTAATTCCTAATAACATGATTTTTTGTATAGCAAAAAATAAAAAGATCTCTTTAACTTCATTATAAATAAAATTTGATTTTTATTGCTTGCAGGCTTTACAATTTGTTATTATTCTTTTCCCCTTTAATGGAATCAGCCGAGGTTTGCCGAATGCCGAGGTTTGCCGAAAGCTAGTCTCGTTTTCCCCAGACTCGCGCTCTCGAGACTTGGCCCGAGCTCTCTCGAGACTTGGCCCGAGCTCTCGCTCGGGCCAAGTCTCGAGAGCGAGAGTCTGGGGAAAACGAGACTAGCCGAAAGCTCTCGGCGAGTCAAAGTTTACGGAGATGACCGAGCGACAACCGTGGTAGGGCTAATGCCAGTAAAAAGCAAATGTAGAAATACAAAATCAAGAAATTCAAAAGAATTATACGGCCTGATAGGTGTAGATCAGTTTACAGTTAAGATTGTTGCTAAAGACGGGAAGCTTTTTAAAAAAGCTCTACTTGTCTTTTTTTTTTAATCCAAGCCCGAGACTAGAAATGCATTTAGTTGGAAAGATCTGTCTTTTTATTTTTTTTCCCTTGGCTAAACTCTCAGTAGTAAGTATTGATCTCTTATTTACAGTAACGAGATTTCGGATAGAAATCATTGCCTTATTATTTATTTGCAATATGCGCGTTGTTATTTTCCCAAAATACTTTGGAAATTAAATTGCACAAGTATTTGTACACATCTGATGAGAGTTATCCTTCTTTACATTCCAAAAGTGCCATCAACAGAAAAGGATAATCCAAAGGTGCGATTTTTCAGATGCAGTTAAGTTGCTCATCATGTGTTCTTGAATTACTGCAAAGTCACTTAAAAACGTAATTGAGAGTGGTTTTGTTTCAAGAATCCAGTCACTATTATTTCTGATGGCCACTTCTGTGACATTGGTCAGAGGAAATATCTTGCCAATATTCACCAGAGATCTCGACATCTGTACGGAAGACTACATTCTCCACAGCATTCGACAACGTCATGATTGCTCGACAAACTAGATCACTACGTGACGTGTAGGGCCGCCTCCTCAATTGGATCCGGGGTTTCCTGTCAGCTAGGTCGTTCCAATTGGGTATCCGATAGAAGGCTATTTCTCACCAACCGCGCGCATCCATTACATCCAGAGTGCCTCATATAACCGTCTTTGGCATTTTCTCTTGGCGTAAATTGACGACTTACCTTCCAGAGTAACCTTCAAGGCCAGATTGTTTGCAGACGACTGTCTCCTGTGTAGGACCATCACTACAGAAGCCAATCCCATATTCAGTGAAAACATAATGGCTAAAATGCTTTAACTTGACTCAGACAAGTGCGAGTTTGTCCGTATCACTACCCAATGGCCATGGAAACAACGTACTACCCCATACTACATCCATGTGAAGAAGCTGGCCGTTACCCCCAAGGTTAAGTACCTAGGGATCAATATCACCAACAACCTGTTGTGGAGCCATCACATCGAAAGTGTTTGTAACACGGAAAGGCATTAGTTAATGCCTTCATACAAGTTACTAGAGGAACCTTTCGTCCTGTCTAACTAACATCTATAGAAGGACACGTGTTACTAGCCATTAGTCAGACCGAAGGTAGAATATGTCTGGAACCTTCACACTAAGGTGAATTTTGATAGAATAGAAAAGATGCTTTAAAAAGGAAAGCGGCCAGATTCCACCATGCAGTAGTCTCACAACAATAGTCGACAGGCTAAA